GTCTCTAATTAGTCTGGAAACGGGGGACCTAATTCTTGCATTCTGTGAAAACAGGTAAGATTGGCTATAATGTAATTATCTTAATCTTCACTATCTTTACTTTTTGCCCACAAATAAAAACCCAGCGAAGCGGGTCCTTGCGGCTAGATTCTAGATTACTTAGAAAAACAGTCTTTTATATATAAAAACAACTATATTACATACAAATGTACGAACAAATAAAAACCCAGCGAAGCAGGTCCTTGCAGTTAGTTTATATATAAAACTGTACAGACGATAGTAAACTCGACTTACCCGCTTAAACTCTCCGTAGCGTAGTGCTGGACGGTGGAAAGTAGTTCGGCTGCTCGTCCGCGATGACGAGTTGGCGATGACGTTTTACGCATCCCTTTTAACGTCTTTATACGAATACTGTCGCAATTTTTTGCCACATTATAGGAATCTACGTTATAGGAACCCGCGTTATAGGGGGTCTACTGTATATGTTAATTATATTCTGGAATCGGATAAAGCTAGGATTAACCAGCTAATGTTAGCTGAATCTAAGCCTTTTGGTTAAAACAAGTAATAATCCATTAATTTTGAACTTCATTCATATAAATCATGCTTTATCCAAGTTATAAGCAGATAAAGCCAACATTATCCAAAAATGAATGTTTGAATTAGGAGCAAAACTAAAAATTTAGGCATTACCACACTGTTTTGGATAAAACAAGATGAAAATTTATGGTTTCACTTTAGCCAGATAATCTGCAATCTTTTCAATGCAGGCTGGATGGATAAGGAAGAAACTTTATTTTTAAATTAACTAGAATTTATTGTTTTTCTATTGCATAAAAATGAGGTGAAAGAAAATAAATGTTGCTAGTTATTTTACCATAATATTGCCAGATTTAAGCTTAAAGAAAATTACATATCATCAAAGCTAAAAACTAGATTTAGCTTTAAAGTAAGAAAAAGAAGTTCCTTTTTCTTACTCTGATTTACAAAATACTGATATATACAGGGTCCCATACAATATCAGTTTCCCATTAAATCCAAAAGCATCCCAAACATTATATTGCCACTTCCTAACTGACAAATCATTCTAACTTTGGCTTTTCTTTTCACATCATGAATAATATCCATAACCATTTGGTCTATCTAAATTCTATTTTTTTCATCAGAAAACATAATTTTTTCTCACTTCTTGGTGCAGCTCTTGACAGATTTAACCTATTTGAAGTCTTTGTTGCTTGTGAATAGGTATGAAATTGGGTAGCACTTTCATTTTTCAATATTTTATGATGATGATATCATGAATACATCATCTGATGGAACAAAGATTTTGGTAAATTAGCAGTTACCTGTTTAGTAGATAGCTACTAATTTACTTGTTATTTTGTAAGGAAGAAAACCTTTTGTTGTTGTTATCGAAACCGTGTTGTTATTTATGTTTGTATACTGGTATACAAACATAAATTTGGCATACAAACTGGGTATACAAAGTATACTTTGTATACTGGGTATAAAGTATACAAAGTATACTGGGTATAAAGCATACAAAGTATACTTTGTATACTGGGTATACTTTGTATACCCAGTATACAAAGAAAACCTTTTGTTTATCTCTGTCAGTTAATTTTTTTCTTGTGTTAATTTTTCGTAATATTCTTGTTTTGTCTATACATTGGCCACAGTAGTTTTAAAATGATTAATTATTGTAGCTATTTCTCTGAAACTTTTCAGCATCTTATAATTCATATATATTTCAAATTTCAGCCTCTGGAAGTTCACTATTTCTTGGCATTGTGTTGTTAGTGTTTAAAATGTAAACTGTTAATAATTCAAAAGTTTAAAATGATTGACTGTTATAATACTGGGTGTAATGTAATAACCTTCCATTCAATTATTCAATAAATATATATTTGCATTTGTAGAGTTTTATTACTCTAAACCAGGGGTTCTTAAACTATGGGTCACGACCCCACTTGGGGTCGCTTAGTGAAATCTTGGGATCGCGAGATTTTAATGCAAAATATCGAAAATAATTTGTGAGAGTTTGAAAATGGTTTGTGTCATAGGTTTTGTGAGTTGCGCTTTGTGCCACTTCTGGTGCAGCGAGGCAATGATTCAGCAACACTGTAGTGTGAACTAATGTAGTGTTGTCACTTTTCAGTGTATTCAGTTATCTCTGTTTCATTGTAACACAAGAGTGAACTGTAGTAATACACCATTATTGTTTTTGAAAATTTGTATATATCTTTATTTTATATTTTTTTTTTGGGTCGCGAAAAAATCACAATCATAAATGGGGTCGTGAATAAAAAAAGTTTAAGAAGCCCTGCTCTAAACTATTTAAAATTAACTGTCCTTATAATTTTGCCTGCTACAGATTCGAGTGTATCCACTGATTTTCTTTCCAGTTTTTATCTTTACTTCCCTTTTTTTTCTTATCAGATTATCCAGAAATTTATAAAATTTCTAATCTGGATGTTTTTTATCATTGGCACTAAGGCAAAGAACAATTAACCAACATTTCAAAAATACCTAAATAACTAAAATAATAATTTTTAAACAGTATATACACAGCACGATAGACGAAACAGGAAGCCTGACACTAGCGTCACCTATTAGTGTCAAAAAGTGCACGCCCTATTGTCTACATAAAATCTTGTAATTCAATTTTTAACCCACTTCTCAATTAAATGTTAAAACAAGAAGAATTTCAATAATTCAATGTTACATACATAAAATAAAAATATTTTTAAAGTGTTAAACAAATGCTTTTTATTCACATAAATGCTCTTAAGAGACAATAAAAGTTTTTTCAGCTTTCACGGTAATCTTGGTAAGTTATTAATGCAACCAAAAATACTATAAAAGCTTAGAAAAATTATGTTTTACTTTTTAGTGCATTTATGTGAATAAAAAAGTATCTCTCTAAAATGTTTTAAATATTTTTTTAATTTTTAATTGTTTCTCTGAAGCAAACATTGCTATTGCTGTAGAAAGTATTCCTTTCCTGATTGTGTAATCATGCTCCTTTATACTAGATATCATGATATATGGAAGCATTAGAAATATCTAAGTCTAAAAAACTGGGAAGGTTGATAAACTTTAAAGACCAAGATAATGTCTGATGGGTCTGGAGATTGTTATGAAATTCCTAGACTAATACAATTTACAATTAGATTTTTACATTAATTATTTTGATTGAGCTATATAGATTTTATTCCTTTGAAGATTTAAACTAATCATATTATAGGCTTTTTAATTGTATATGTTAATATTTTGTTCACTGTTCCATGATCTATTGCTTTTAAAAATTTGTTCTAATTTGCGTAAGAGCCTGATGGCTGTTAAAAAGGGCTCAAAATCTTTGCTTATTTGATTAAAAGTCTCTCTCCTGATTTAAAAAGGCTAGAGTGTGAGTTATAGTTTCTTTTTGTTCACTATAATTATAGCTGATCTAACTTTTCTATGTATTCTTAATTTAAATAATTTTTTATTGAATAGTCAAACATAAATTAGTTCATTTATTTTATAAGTTTTCTTTAATAACCAAATTGCTGTTATTCAACGTTATAACACAATAAAATAACCTGATAACAATTGGAATGGTACCAAATAAAAAGAATAAAACTATTTTTTCTGTTGAATCAGTTATCCATAATCATTTAAGTGTATATGTTCTGAGAAATATGGAAATACATTTAACTAAGATTATCTGAATCAAAAAAAAAATATTTAAGTGTATGGTATAATTAGTTACTGAAATAGTACAGTAATACCCCGAACTTACGCGATGGGTGGGACTGAGCAGTAACCGCGTAAGTCGAATTCACATAAGTCGGGGTATAATTTCGCATATAAATACATACAAATAATTTTTAATTGGGGTCGGAGACTAAAGAAAACAATAATTTAGAAAAAAATGTTTAATAAAATCTTAGATAATACATATGTATAACAAATTAGGCCTATATTATTTTACAATTTTTCACATTTACTTGATTATTACGCCATAATTTTAACATTGTTTCCATCTCAGCGATAATACTGTGACGTTTACGAATGATGCTTGAATTTAAAGATTGAGCATTTTTCACAGCTTCGAGAATTTTTTCTTTGCCTTTTATAATTGTTCTGACCGACAATTCCGGTAGATCAAACTTCTTTGCCAATTCACAAATTTTCATTTTTGTATCGAAGTCTTTAATAATGGGTACGTTCGTAAAGTCAAACGAGTTAAACGCGTTAGTAACGAATCGTTCGAAAAGTCTAACGAAATAGGAATAATGATGACTTCATTCTCGCTTAACTCATTCAATTTTATGAACATACCCAATGTTAAATTTACATTCCAAAGATAAAGTATTTTTTTTCTTGTTTGATGCAGAAGAATTAGTTCTACTTCGCTTGGATGACATAGTAGAGTCTCTCAAGTCTCCGTAGATATAACAAACACAGAAATAAATAACACAAAATAAATTGTAGTTATGTGTGGATTCCACGTGACACATCCGAACATATAAGCTGAACAATAGTGTGGAGGGAGCGAGTAATCAAGGGTTGCGTGGCGCTCAAACAAAAGACGAATCGATGAGATTTGAAAATCGCGTAACTCCGGGTTCGCGTAAGTTGGGGTATTACTGTATTTAATTTTAATAAATTTTTTAAAATATGTATTGTGATATACTGTATAAAAATATGGTAATTTAAATTTCAACTTGCAAAATAACACACACAGAAGAATTTCTTTCTGGAATTGATTTTATTTTTGTTTAAAATAATTTTTGAAATTATTATTTAAAAATTTCGTAATAAAAATCAAATAGTCCAGGTTAAATGATATTTTGTATTGAACTATATTATGTCCAGTTGATTCTTAGTATGTCTATCTTAAGAAACACAGAAATAATTTTTAAGAAGCATTACTAAAATTCCATAATTCATTCAATTCAAATTCAATAATTTATTTTCTTGGAGAAGGAATTAATCATGAATTTGTGTTTTAGATGTTCTTCTTGGAGCCCATCGAAATAAAAAAGTTGCAGTCAAAGTTTTAAAAGATTCCAGTAAAGCTGCTCAAAATTTTTTGGCTGAAGCCTCAGTTATGACGTAAGTAATATCATATTTTGATATTTTAAAGATTTTTTTTTATATTTATCCTCACAAAAATAATTTCAATTTCTGTAAAAAGTTTGATCTGATCCTGAAAGGTAAAAAAAAAATAAATAAATATTAGGCATTGATACATAAAAATCATCTCAATTTTATAAATACACTTCAGATTTTATATCAAATTTAACAACTAAAACTGCTGGATTTTCTTATCAGGCAATATTTAATTAAATTAAAAGTTTTTTTAAATAATTATAATTTAGCAAATCTGGCAGTTTTGGTATTTTGTAATGAACTTAGCCTATATCTTTATTCTCAACTCCTTATCTTCACTAATTTATAATTTAATTGGCCTTAATTCTAGGAGACAACCTGTTTAATGTTTAATATTTTTTTGTAAAGTAATTTATTTCCATTATCAGAACTGAACTAGTTGTAGTTTAATTCTTTTATGTCCTTACTGTTTTACATTTCTGTGTATATACTGTCTACTTGGACCTTGTTTATTAATAGGACTTATTATACTGGTGTAGTTTCTGATTAATAAAAACTGTTAGAAAAACCATTAGTTATAGTTTAGTTATGATAATGACTGTTCCAAAAATATTAAACATTAAAAAAGGATTGACTTCTTGAATTAAGACTGACTAAGTTGTAAATTATTTTGGTTATTTAATTTTTAAACATTGGAATATCTATTTAAAAATTGTTTCAGAAATATTATTTTATGTGAATGTGAATTTTTATTATTTTTAAAAGCCAACGCAAGAAAGGAAAGTGCTAGACAGGTGTGTAGCACTTTGTTAATGTAAAATTCCAAATTCAAATGTCAGATATTTTCAGATTATTTAGCACAAATATTTTTCTAGGAATTAATAACTTTTATGTTCCTGTATAAAACAAATATATCTGTTTGAAATTTTTTCCAGATCTCTTAAACATAATAATCTCGTCCAACTGTTAGGCGTAGTGTTTGATGGTCCATCCATTTACATTGTTACAGAATATATGGCCAAAGGATCTTTAGTCGATTATTTGAGGTCCAGAGGACGTTTACATGTTTCAAAAAGAGACCAAATAAATTTTGCAACGTATGATTTATTTCATTATTGTAACAATTTGTAAATATAAATTATTGAATGTTGTTTTAAACTAGTTAATTTTTCTGTAGTGATACATGTGCTGGAATGGAATATTTAGAGTCAAAGCATGTTATACATCGTGATCTTGCTGCTAGAAATGTTCTGATATCTGAAGAATGTGTAGCAAAAGTAAGATTTCAGTAATTAATGTTATGATCTAAAATGTTAACTTATTTTTAACATTTGCATGCATAATGCTTTTTATCTTTTGTTATAAACTTGAATGTTTATTAATATTACTTGTGTTTGAGGGTTTTTTTTAGTTTCCTCATAAAAAGAACTTTACAACTAAAGAATACTAATTCTAAAACATACTAGAAATTCCTCCATCAAGCATGACAGAATACTTTTTATGAGAAAGTAGAGATTGAAGAATTGAAAAAAGTAGAGATTTCAAGAAATTCAAAAAGGATTGCCTAAATTTCTACAAATTAAGTAGTTTATACTATCTGGTTGTGATGCTGTTTCTGCAGCCCTTGACAAAACCATTCTTACTTGAGGTTGCTCAAGTCAAACTTCACAGCCTTTTGAGGTCTCAGTTGTTCTTATTCTTTTAGATTTAGAATTTACTTGACCAATTTTACACTTATGCTTTCCCTTTGCCTTTTCTTTTTTTTTTTTTCAACAAAATAGCGAATCTTTTTAAATTCACGTTGATAAAACAAAGATGGATTGTGTGTGTACGTTAGTTAGATGAGTGATAACATTTTTTACATAATGAGCTCGTTAGATCGTTACTGCAATTTGATAATAGAATGTCATGTGGTCACTATGGAAAGATTTTTTTAAAACATTTGTTATAGAAGTGACATGATGCAGCTATCATTTTTAAAGTTTAAATTTTAAATTTAACTAAGTTCAAAATACCCCATTTGTCAAAATATTTAAAAATGCAACTTAAGGGAAATTCCATTGTCAAGCATGAACTAAATGAGGTCACTGACGTCACTGCAACAGAAGTGCAATCATCAATCCGAAATCGATAAAAATGTTTATTCTATAGCTAATATTTCCACAAAATAAGTAGCCTACACACACACACACACACACGCGCGCGCGCGCACAATATGGCTTTTATATTATTAGCAAGCATAGCAGGACAAAACATTCTAAAATTTTAATATTGGAGTATGTTTTATAACAGTTTTTTTTCTTTTAGTTGTAAAGTTCTTTTTGATAGCATAATCAGTTATCGCAAATATTTGATTTCATCATTGAAATATACCACCTCTAGAATTATAAATATCCAATTTGGTTAATACAGTATAGTCTAAGGAACTATAATATATTTAATTAGTTGCTTTTACTTTATTACAATTTCTGTATCTACCATAATAATCTTGTTTTTAATAATTTGAATTATAAGTAGAAGGTAAGAAAAAATTAACTTACTTTTTATATTTTCTCTATTAAATTGGTTAGCAATATTTGTGTAATGTATATGAAAACAAATAGTTAAAGAAATAGATGGATAATCCACCAGAAATTAAAACATTTTTAATGGCTATATGTCCAGTTTATTTTATAAAAATGTGAAAACTGTAAAAAATAAAATAATTTAAAAAGATTTAATTAATGAAGTATTATGTGGATATGGAGATAATCTTTGAAATTATTTTAATAATTTACATCTAATTAAATGATTATTTGATATCATTTTTTTCCCTATCCACTAAAACACTTTTGGAATTAATTAGTGTATTGCAGTGAAATTTAGAGGATTATGTCCTCTAGAACATGAAATATGTAATTTTTAAAAGGAAAAAATATTTTCAGTCTTGACCATCAGAAAATAAGTAGTGCTGTCTAACATTCAATTACTATTAATTTAAAGAAAATGACAAAGCACAGGCCAAGGAATTTGTGGAAATGTTTTCAGTACTTGTTCATGGATATAACAGTTTTCTTTTTATCTATATAAAAGACACTGTTTATTTGCATTTTAACACCATCTACAAATGCAAATGATAGCATTACTTTTCTTCCAATTAACAAAATTACTTTCTGGATATATTAGATAACAAATTTTACTGCAGTTTGTTTTTTAAAATCTGTTCCAGACAATTCTGAACAGGAGTTTAAACATAGAATTTTAGTAATTAGGTATACATGGCTTAATTTTGAGATTAAAATAACTAGTTTTTAATTCTAATAGTACTCTTAACTAAAAACTTAAAAGTTAGAATCAACAATCATATCAAATTTAAAGATTATTGTAATACACTGCCTATATAAGTAATTATATATTAATAATTATTTAAAATTGTGTTATTTTCCACAGTCATATTCCTTTAAGTTTTTCAAAATCTTTCAAATAAAAAAGATAATTTTATTTTCAATACATTGATATTGGCTTTGTTTCATTGTTAGTTTCTTTAAAACACCATGCATTTCTGAACAGTTTCAATGCTGTATAAAGAGAATAAGAAAAGTATTGCAAATAGCACTTTCACTTAGCACAGATCATGCACTAATGTTGCAAGAAAATTGACTAATTTAATTATCTAACTGTAAAAATATCAATACACAATAAAACCTCTGTTAATGGACACTCCTGAATAGTGGACACCTCTATTTAATGAACATTTTTACAAATCCCAGACCCTTCAAATAGAATGTCTATTATATTTACTTCTAAATAGTGGACAAACTTCTCAGACCTAATGTTGGCCACTATTCAGAGGTTATATTGTACTATTAAATGCAGTATGTAATTTTCTCAAATTCAAATTCAACCATGTTGTTTTTTTATTTTATCCATCTGTCCTCCTATGTGGTTATTTCTTATACCTCTTCTTTCCTTTAAACAGGACACTTTGTTATCTTGGGTTATCCATAAATCATGTGTGTCTAACAAGGATTCTTCATAACTTGTTAAAAATGAATTAGATTTCATTGATGTATTAAAATTATACTATTTTATTTTATTATTATTTCTGGCATATTAGTATCTGTCTTTTCTAAATGATGTATAGATGATTCAAAAATACAAAATTTTGTATAATATGAAGAAACAGTGAGCATACAGATACAATATAATTGGCATATTTATAGGATAAGTTTCATATAATCAAAATACTTTGTATTGTGGCTTCATAGTTTGTGATGAAATTTCCTGAACTGTACAGATTTCTACAATGTAGAAAGAAATATCATAGACCTCTGTTTTTATATTATAATTGCTGTCTTGAAAACTTGTTAAGCAAGATGAATATAAATCAAACTCTTTCTCACAAGTTTAGTTTATGACACAGTATAAATTTGCTCTGTATGATACTTTAATTAAATTGCTAACAATAAATACCAAATTTAAATATATTTCATAAATTTTTTGTGATACTCCGAATTTTAATGAAAATCAATCGTCAATGTCGTCATACTTAACAATTGTTGTCCCCAGCTACCTGAGAAAATCTCCACTTACACTTTCTTGATGGCAAAAGTGATGCATTTCCATGATCTGCTGATCTCTTGCCTAAAAGAACTTTCTTGGTCCAGACTGGTCCAACAATCCGAATCCTCACCCTCAATATCCTAATCTCAACCTCAATTCAAGAATTTCAAATCAAGAATCATTACCCTCAACGCAGGTATTTCCCGACTCGTGAACAATTGTAAACTCTCTCTCTCTCATGATTGCTAGCTAGATAGGTTAAGTCGATATAGTGTATCATGTGTTCCTCTTTGTTGAAAATAAATAGGTATTTAGTTGTTAACTTTCGTATCTGAGTATTTTACTTCCAGTACTCTGTCTCTCGACCCAAAATTTAGATCCTGGATCTGATTGCCCTCACACTCGGCCGCTCATGTGACTGAATCAACACGCCGTTGGCTTCTGTGTCAATCGGGATGTGGTGGTGTCAGTCATGACAGGGCATCGAAGATGTGCCAACCCTCCAGTCACATTTTAATTGAAATGAATATAACTTTGCATCAGCATTGTAGGATGAAATATTTTATATATTTCATCTTACAATGCTATGCAGTATTTATTTAACAGAAAATTTTCAATTGTAAAAAGGGGGATTATAAAAGTCAGAAGTTTTGAAGCAAAATATTCTACTGTCTACTCTATTGTATATTCTTTATATTCTACTCTGAGTCTATTATATTCATAATTGATTGTTATTAATTAAGTAATAAATACGTCTGTATTTTGCATGAAAATAGCTTGCTTAACATTTATTTCTGATGTCAGTTTATTTTCAATTTCTTATCTAAACATGCATGTCAAGAAAACAATCATAATGTTTGATATTAATGAGATTTAGCATAATCTGTTAGGTTTGTAATATTGAAGTGCAATTCATTGTTATGATATAAGAATTACCATAATTTATCATTCTGATAATATGCTTCTAGTAAGAAGATACTGAATTAAAATGAAACAGCAAAAATGTTTTCAGCAATAACTGATTTAATATGACATTTGCTATTTGGTTTAATTGTTAAATGTTAAGAGAAATAATCTAATAATTCTAGGTTTGTGATTTTGGTCTTGCACGTGACGAAACATTTAATCTAGAAGGCGGTAAATTTCCTATTAAATGGACGGCTCCAGAAGCTCTCAGGTACAGTGTAAGTATCAATTAAAAAATATAAAATTGATTTATACAGCATCATGTAATGTTAAATATACTTATTGTAAAAAATTGTTTTCAATAGAAATTTTCTAACAAGTCAGATATGTGGAGTTTTGGAATTTTACTTTGGGAAATTTACTCTTTTGGAAGAGTGCCTTATCCAAGAATTGTAAGTATCAATCCAATATATACATAAGAACATCTTTACAAAAATAGTCATGATTATTTAAAATATTTTATAATTTTGGTATAGCCACTTGCTGATGTGGTAAAACATGTAGAGAAAGGATATCGAATGGAAGCCCCAGAAGGTTGTCCACCAGAAGTATATGAAATAATGCGACATGCCTGGGATCTTGATCCAGAAAAGAGGCCAACATTCAACGAAGTTCAAAAGAAACTTGAAAATATACGTTCGCTCACTCTTTGACTGCAAGACATTAATTTTAATATGTAAGTGAAATATTCAGTTTAAAATTTTCAATATAATACAGTATTGTGTGAATTTGATAAAATTTATTTATTTTTCTAGCTCTCCTGTTATTAACAAGATATGATTATCTTTGAATCACATAGTGGTTTCTGAGGTCCATCCTGATGTTGTGCCTTTGCATGACCTAAGTTTAATATCTTGTGGTTAGGAATCACAATGTATTTCACTTTCAGAACGAAGAGTCTTATTCCTAACTCTTTCAGTCATTTAAGATAGTGTGGACTAGTATTCCACAGAAGCTACGTATCAGAATAGTTGTTGTACAGTCTTGTGTGGTCAAGTTTTTAAATTATCAAAGTTTGCAGTTTGTCGATTGCAGATTCCTTTCGAGAGAAAGCAATCATTGGATAATTTTGGAATTTGCTATTTTTTGTACTTTGTTTCTAAATATTTTTCAGCTTGTCGAAACAATAGTATTAAAGATAATTTTACATTCTACAAACTTTTTGTATACATTCATGAAAAATATTTGAAATAATTTGACTTCCAGATTGCTGCTTCCAATTACTTTTTGAAAAAAGATACTTAATGTTTGCAGTCATGTGATTAAAATATATATATATAGATTGTCTTTGTACAATTGTGATTATATGTATTGATTTTGTTTCAAAACAAAACATAATCAAGATAATCTGTTAAAGTTAAGTTGAAAGTACTAGTATTTTTCAATCAGTGCCTTTGTCTTGTTTATTGTCCTATATTGCTTCCCCTTTTTTTAATAATAATTTGGTAGCACAACTAACTAATCAGCACAAGAAAAAATATCATGTAAAACATTTTGGTAATAAAATGCTTGTGTTTTATATTTATCATTTCATAAGAAGTTAAACGACATTTACAGTTGTATCTGAAAATTTGATTAAAAATCTTCATATATATATTATATTACATTTGTAATATTGCTATAACAAATCAATTTGGTAATTTTTTTTAGTTAATTTAATGAAAATTCTAGAATTTAAAACATATTCATGTCAACTGTTTAAAGTAATTAGTGATTTTGAAATATTGTTGACTTAAAAGAAATATCTCCAATTGTGTTTTCTATTTTAATCATATAAAATATAATACAATTTAAATATAAGACATGAAATAATTTTAGTTATTGTAAAATGCTTTACATTTTGTATTTTAAAAAATTATTTAAATATTTGTTTATTTTTATATTTTGTTTCAAGCATAATTTGTAAGTTGAAGTTAGTCTGAGAACAAATCAAAAGTGTTTATTTTAAATTTTATTTGGTTTTTGTTAAAAATAATAAGTTTGTTTCTAATTTTGTTTAATTTCCTGGGATTAAACAAAAACAAAAAAGCAAATAATACCAAGAATAAATTTAGATCTCCAGTATATACTTTTAAAAAATCACTTGTATTTCAAGTTTATTTTTATTATATCAATGTCATTTTTACATAATACTATAAAATATAAACACGTTTTAATTCACAAAATATACCTTACCTTTGATTGAAATTCTCATAATAAAAGCACCAACTATCGGCTGTAATTCTGTTAAAATGAACAAATTTATTATAAGAAATGCTTTTAACAGCCACTTCAAGTTACGGAAATTTTAATTAGTAGATTAAGTAATTTTTTTTTTGTTTTGTCCTGCTAAATTATATATCTATAATATAATCGAGACGGGTTGATAATAATAATAATAATAATAAGCGCACAGCCCAAACGGTTAGGAGTTGAAAGTTGAAATTTGGTACACAGTTAGAGTACATCACGAAAACGCACACTAAGAAGGGATTTTTCAAAATTCCCCCTGGGGGGAGAAAGACAGGATTAAGGCTTAACACTTCCATCAACAATGGAAGTTTTAAGTAACAATGGAAGTGTTAANCTAGTAGAAAACAGGTAAAGAAATTTATATATATTTAATTATTTTCATGTATCTTTCAAGAAAGTCTGCATTGCATTCTTGAAAAAATTTAGTCACTAATTTATATTAGATTTGTGGTGTTTTTTGTTTATTTGTTTTTTCATAGATAAGAAATAATATATACCATTTATATTTTCAATTTAGAGATTTATGGGAGAAAAAGCCTTTGCTTGTAAGAAGAAAAAATGAAAATTATTATAATAAATTGTTTAGTTGTGAAGAGTTTGATAAAATTTTAAAACAAGTAAGTTTATTATTTTGTATAATTTGCTTTTAACAGTAAAAACATGCAATTAGTTAAGTCTATACTGCTATAAATTATATCAAATTGAAAAACTAAACAGTGTTGAATGATCATATTATGTCACAAATCTTACACAATGATTTGTTGTAAGATAGCAGTCAAATAATATGTTGAGCTTTATAGTTTTATATAAAACAGACAAATAATATACTAAATAAATGATTGATATTGTTAGAAAACTAACTTATCTTGATAATAATTAAAAGTACAATTATCAAGAAGTTTAAAATGTTTATTGTGAAAATTATATATATAATTTTTTAGTTGTCTATTAAACATTAATTAAGGTTGTGTTTTCTATCTACTATTACCAACAACATACAACCATACCAATGAATTTATGAACATTCATCTAAAAACCAAATATTTTTTAACTTTAAAGAAAAGTTATAGGGCACTGATAATGCTTGCAAAAAGATTTGAAAAACAAAATTAATCTAGTTTTCAGTTCTTACTTTCTTTGACTTATGATGCTTCTCAACCAGTTTGAAACAATTTTAGAATTTTATAAATCATGTAAAATGAAAAAGTTTTGTTTCAATCACAAATTGATTGATACATATAACTAACACCTTATCCTTGCCGAGAAATATAATTTAAACAAACATTTTCAGCCTGATTCACAGGCCATCTTCAGGTTGAGAATCAGGCTGAAAACATTTGTTTAAATTATTTTTCTCGGCAAAGATAAGGTGTTAGTTATATGTATAGTGATTTGCTGAGTACTTTATGATATTATCACAAATTGATTGAATTGATAGAATAAGGCAATTCAACATATGTGCAATTTGCCAAGATATGGGGTGCCTCCTGGGAATACTTTGTGTGAAACTGTTAGACATGTGAAGAAAACCCAAAAACTTCCATGTGTCCAGCTTGATGAAGCATGAACCTACAACATACAAGTGTTTGGTGGTTTTATCCACTTGGCCACTAGTGAGCTCCTAATCAAAAATATAATGTATATTCAGTATCATGGGTTATCTTTATTTTTTGTAGAGTCTGTTTTATCAACTTTGTCTTTTTTTTCTTCTTCTTAGCACATGTAGATGCATTTTTCACTGACTGCAAGTTGTTATCCAGGTAGTATATATTTTTCTGTAATATATAAGATGTGATATATTAAAAGTTCATCATCTTCCAGTATTCCAATATTGTAAGATATAGGAATACTGGAAGTTAATGAACTTTCAATATTTGGTTACTGTAAATAAGATTATAGTTTTGCATACTTTTTATATAAAGAACTTCAGGAAATTATTATTGAAGACAATGTAAATGAGTTTTTTCAAAATACTAATTCTGAGAAACTTTATGATTAAATATGGTTAATATGCTACCTTCTAAACTATTAAGAGAAACAAAGGAATAAAGAAAATAAGATAAATGTATTATGAGGAATAATAATTTAATGGTAATAACTTCAGCATATAAAATTTATAAGAATGAATTTTATAAATTGCCATCAGACAAAAACAAAACAAATATATATTAATACATAGAATATTAAATATCTAGAATTTAAATTCAGAATGAAATTTTATAAATATTACATGGCTGAAATAATGCTTACAGTGAGTTGTTATTAGTAATAAATCAGTAATACATTAGTAGTAAAAACTCATTATATAAACTAATCTTATATAAAAGTAATAGATGATAAATAGTAAAATAAGGCCAAATATTATAACTACATATTAATAGCCAAGTAACAAAATATGACTCCTTTACTGTTTTACCAGCTAATTATCATTAACATAAAATTAAGTTCATATATTCATCTGACTATGCACTTGATTTTCTGTTTCTACTATTCTTTAAGGTATTCTTTTAATTTTTATATTTTTTTATATATTTAAAAAAATTCCAAAATTATCAAGTTTTTAAAAGATGAAATTTATTTAAATCTGTGTGATTTTATATACTATTATCATCATTATGCAGATTTCAAAAGTTTATTGAAATAAATATCTGTCTTATATAAAAGTTAATGATGGCAGTATTATAGTTTACTTTCATCAGTCAAAATTTCACATTTTAAATGTATTTTGTTATAAAATTATTGCCTGCATACCAATAATAGGGAAAAGAATCCCTAGAGTAAATATGATTTTGGTGCATTAATTCCTCTTGGCAATATGCCTTGCTTATATACAATAATGGAAACAAAAAATATTTAAATGTAAACAACTGAAAATTCTTATTTTTGTCAGAGAAAAATATATCAGTGAATATTACTAGTAGAAAACAGGTAAAGAAATTTATATATATTTAATGATTAATCTGAAAATTACAGAAATATTCAAACAAAATTTTAAACTTTTCAATTTTTATTATAATAATAATTTTACTGTATTGATAGCTGTACAATTTGAAGGTAGTTTTAACTATTGAATATTTAAAGTTTAAGAAATTTTCATTTTTAATTCCCCCCAATATTTTAAGTGGTCTAAATATTTTCACATTTAAGTTTAAATTGTCTCCATATTCTGAAAGTCATATTGGAAAATGTGAATATTAAGATCAGACTTATCTAATTAGTAATTTAATAAAAAGAAAATTATTTGATAAACAAATGATCCTTCGATTATTGTTGATGATAAATTGATTACGAGATCAAATATTAAAAAAAACACGAAAATGTTGAATCTACTGCATATAGACTTTATCATTTTTCATTTTAATAACTTTGATTACATAACAAAACAATTTGATTTTTCTTCCAGTTTATTAATATTTCATAAAGTTCGGGTAATTAATAAGTATATACTTTTGTACTTGGATTATACAGGATTTATTAATGAATAATAAATAAATAATTGCTTTTTACTTTTCCGGCTGTTATATATAACAGAGGGAAAGTGTGGCGATCGGTCAAAAACTGACCCCCCCCCAAGTTTTTACATTTTTTGGACTTAGGACACCTTGAAACATCAATAAATGCAAAAAAAAAAAAATATTTGGGGTAATTTATGTATGTATGGATGTTTTTGTGTGAGGGACACGATTTTGTTCATCCTTTTTGAGGGTGAACAAAATCGTGCCCCCCGACAAAAAAAAGCACAGAATTAATCATCAAAGAAGCTTAATTTTGTGCTGCTTCTCGAAAATTTCTGAAATTTTGCAGGGAAGTTTGTTTATTAGGGGATTGATGCTATTAAATTTTGGTGGTTAAAGGTCGAAGGGGTGGGGAGATAATGAGGGTCGTATATATCTCCAGTAGGGTCGGACTTAATGACGATTTTACTCGTTATTAGCATTTGCAATTTTCTTTTTATAAAACTCAACCCTACCCGCAAAATTAAGCTTTTTACCATTTTATAATAGTTGTCATATTTTATTCAAAAAAATTTAACGGATGACGCCGCCAAAATTTTAAATGTTGTCGGTTTATTTTCAAAGCCATGTAGATTTATGGTTTTAGATTAATAACAGAATTAACAACTTTAAAAATAAAATGTTTGCCAAATTATTAAATAATAATTTAATAAATTATGAAAAGCATATAACTTAATTAGAAAAAAAAACTTAAAAAGTTGGAGAAGCAATAGCATTTGACTTATTATATGCATATGCTATTTTATTTTGTCAATTTTGTCAGTCTGTAAGGGACTTGAGGGTCGGAATTTGTACAGTTAAGCAGGGAAAGTCATGGAATTTAAAACAAAAATTTGAGCAGGAACTCTGTAGATAGAACATGCAAATATTCCGGACATTTATATGATGATAGAATTCGCTTATTTGCTTTATTGTAATCACTAGTAAAAGTACTACAGTACTATGAAAATTCTGTAGTACTCAAAAGCGGAATTGTATACTGGAGTTTGTACCATTTAAATC